AAATAAACCAATTCAAATGGAAAACTTAATGTTTTTATATATTAGACTAATTATATTACAGTAATATTGTTACATTATTATTATTATCATCATCATTACAATATACAAATATGATTATTCATTTTATATTATTATATTGTTGTGTGTGAGAGAGAGTGTGTGTGTGTGTGTGTGAGAGAGTGTTTTCAGCACTGAGCGTCTATGAGGCAGGCCTGCTCTCTGTGACCTCTGACCTCACGCTCATGCTGGTTTGAGTGTGTCTCATTACAGTCGTCTGCACTGGTGTGTCTGTAATCCTGATGCTCGTGCCAGCTCCGCGCTGTCATTAATTTCATCCCATTACGGACGAGAGAAAAGGAATTAAAATACTTTATAGTCGGCTTGGCCGTTAAACAGCGCTGTTATGACTGGCCATTAGCCTGTTTAACGTATCCTGTGGGAGCGTGGGATTTGAGAGCGTTAGCGAGATAATTAGCAAACAGGATGGAAAACTGGGCTAATGCCTTCCAGAATGATTTATTTACTCCAGCTCTCAGTCGATTCATCAGAGCAGACGAGCTCGTCTCTCAATAACACAACACAGACAGTGCAAATTCATGGAAGTTTTTATATAATCTTTTCTAATAATAACATAACATATAATATGAAAATATTTATATTACTATATATTTATAATACTATATTTCAGAATTATAATATTATATAAAATATATGATATTATTGAGTGGATTTATGGAAATGCGAATAGTTATGTAAATGTATCTTATCTTTGTGATGTAAAATATATATATTTTTTAATTATTTTAATATATACTATTTTTATTATACACTTCTAGATTTTTAATACTGCATTTTTAATTAGGTGATGTGATTGCTATTAATTTTACTATTGAATGGATTTATGGAAATATCTATTTTATGTTTATGTAAATTTATTTTTTTTATCTTTTTAAGCCAATGCTGCTTTTTCTCATCACAGCCGATGCGCTCGTCAAATTCATGCAAGTTCCTCTCTTTATTTCTTTTTTTTTTTGCAGCAAATGTTCTTGGAAAATAGACTCCAGAAAAAAGGCTGCATTCACAAGGGGAAAAAAGACAGAAACGTTCAAAAAATGAAACCCATTTTGTGAAGAGCGCTCGGCAAACATATCAAATCAAAGAGTCGGCCACGCTCAGCGTGATGAGAGTGGAAAAATAATATTTACAGTGCAGAGAAATGCATGTGGAAATGACTGGTCTCTCGTCAGGATGGAGATGTATTTTGACACGCCACATCATTGGTGGGAAAGCAATATTTACTAGCCACGTGTGATCAAGCACACTCATCATCGCCGAAGCGAAGGGACACAGCTCGTCTCCACAAACCCACAGATATGATTGTGCCGCGCCTGTCAGACTGAGATGCAATCGATAGTTATTTCTTTGTTTAAAGGTCCAGTCGCAGATGTGGCGTTATTGCCTGAGTATCCATCACAGTCACATCCGTCTGTAACAGCATATTCCTCATTCACTGAGAGCGAAGAACAACAACATGTGAGGAATATTCAGTGCTCCACAAACCTGGAAATACAGACTTTTTGCAAGACGAATAATCTCATCGCTTAAAGGAAAAGTGAGCCAAAAATGCAGAATATGTCACTGTTTGCTTATGAGATGTTCAGCAGGATGTTTTAATACAGTAATCAGCAGCTGTCAAGCTTCAAATAAGACAAAAACACCATAAATGTATCATTAAGTCATATGATTGATGAAATTTAAGTTGTTTTGCATTAAGTGCATGGAAATGCATTGCATAAATGAATGCGGAACACCTAATTGGAATATGCATGAGTGATATGGTTTCATTAAAAGGTTAATTCCCAAAAAACACTATACATGTATCAAGTCATATGCTATTGTTTTAACAACCCGAAATTTAAGTCATTATGCACTAAGTGCATGAATATGCATTGAATAAATGAATGCAGAACACCATTTTTTTATATGCATGATTCATATGGATTAATCAATAGGTTGATTCCTCAAAAAACACTATAAATCTATCAAGTCATATGATTTAATGTCTTATGCATTAAGTGCATGAAAATGCAATGCATAAATGAATGCATAACATCAAATTTGAACAATCTTGACTGTGCATGAGTCATATGAATTAATTAATAGACTGATTCCCAAAAAGCAACATAAATGTGTCATTAAGTCATTTGATTTTTGGTTTTATGAATGGAACAATACAAGTCGTTTTGCATTAAGTGCATGAAAATGCATTGCACAATTGAATGCATAACATCAAATTTGAATATGCATGAGTCATACAGATTAATAAATAGATTGATTCCCAAAAAACACAATTAAATCATATGAGGTTTTAACAGAAATTGACGTCATTATGCATTCAAGTGCATAATAATGCATTGGATAAATGAGTGCAGAGCACCAATTTTGAATATGCACGAATCATATGGATTCATTGATAGGTTGAATCACACCATAAATGTGTCATTAAGTTTTTTTTTTTAAATGAGAGAAACAGAAATTGAAGTCGTTATGCATTAAGTGCATGAAAGTGCATTGGATAAATGAATGCAGCACATCTCATTTGAATATGCCTGAGTCATATGGATTATGGTGATGATACTTTAATGCAGTTTTTTGTCATCTTCTGGAGCTTGACAGCATTCACCTCCACTCGATTAAATTTTTGGGTCAACTATTCCTTTCATCCCTCCTTTCATCCTGATTCTCTCTTTTTTGTGCATTTGTTAGTGTCAGCTGACCAGGTCAGAGCGGCTTTTCCTGCGTGTGACTTGACAGGAAGCTGAAAACAGGATTCTTCTTTTTAAATCAAATCTGCACTCAATTTAGAGGCAAACTGAAGAATGCTTCTGAGGCAAACAAACATGTATTTTTCTCTGGATCAGATTATGCATGCACGCAGGGAACGAGCGTGTGAATAATGAAAACTGTAGGACGGGCCGCAGCGTCTCTGGGCAACAGGAAGCGCTCATTATTTCAGGCCAAAGAGAGCCAGAGATTGAAGGAAGAGCGCAGGACGAAATCCATCTCATCTGAAGACAACAGGACGCCGCTCTCCTCATGAACGGCTGAAGGTGATCCAAGACTATTTCAATGTTTGATAAGAGGAGACAAGGTCACAGAGTGTTGCTAAGCAGCTCAAAAGCAGCGCGGCTCTCTGGGAAGAGCAGTGAAGAGTCACAGTGATGGCGAGAGGAGAGGAGCTCTGACAGCTGCTCCGAGCCAAACTAAAGACATGAGTGTGTGTGTGTGTGTGCGTGCGTGAGCGCGGAGCGCTGACACCAGAGATGAAAACACTGCTGGTTAGACGCTTGCACCTCAATGCAGGACGAAATCCATCTCATCTGAAGACAACAGGACGCCGCTCTCCTCATGAACGGCTGAAGGTGATCCAAGACTATTTCAATGTTTGATAAGAGGAGACAAGGTCACAGAGTGTTGCTAAGCAGCTCAAAAGCAGCGCGGCTCTCTGGGAAGAGCAGTGAAGAGTCACAGTGATGGCGAGAGGAGAGGAGCTCTGACAGCTGCTCCGAGCCAAACTAAAGACATGAGTGTGTGTGTGTGTGTGCGTGCGTGCGTGCGTGAGCGCGGAGCGCTGACACCAGAGATGAAAACTGCTGGTTAGACGCTTGCACCTCAATGTCACAGTGGATCAGAAAAGTCCTATTCACACACAGACCAAACAGTCGTGCTGCAGCAGTACAGCCTCATCAGTACCTTCATCTAGAGAGCATCTGGCCGATGACTGATATACAACGTAAAATACATAGGAAAATTATATACATATATATATATATATAAACTGAGTGAATTAAATTAAACAAATTCTTGTTTTACATAATATTTATTAAAAAAATTATAACAATTATATAATATTTGCAAATTTACGGTGAGAACAATTGGTCTGTTCAGTGTTATTTTAGTATTACTTACTATTATAGTATTTAATAATATTTTGAATTATTTTTGATTATTTTTTATATTTGAAAGTAATAACTACATAAATATTATAAGTAACTTTTTAAAACTTTTTATTTTAAAGTAATTTGATCTGCTTTTATCATTTTTCTTTTAAATTTTTAATATTTTAAGTGTTTATAACGTTTTTTTACTTATTTTAATTTCAATTTAATTTTTGTAATTTTAATAATTTTAGTAATGTTAAGCATAACATTTCTAATGTCCATTTAAGTTTAAGTTAGATTAAGTTATTCATATAATATTTGCTGTGTACTTTAATTTATTTCAGCTTTATTTCAATGACAGAAACTATTTTATTTGTTATTATATTATATATAAAGATTTTAAGTAAAGTCAGTATTTTGTAGACATTTTGTATTTTGTATAATTGTATTTGGCATTTCTGTCACTTCTGAAATGATGGCTATGCCCCTGGTGTGACAAAATGTTAGCCTATACATAATAAAGCTCTTTTTTTAAAACCTTGGCTTACATACATTTCTACGTATGTCATAGCATCATTAAACTAGCATCTAACAATGGACAAAAGTGTTTTTTCTCTCTCTAACCTATGGATCTGTAACCATAAAGGCTGCTGTGTAATTTGCCCCCTGACTAAGCATTTAAAGAATTTAGGGGAAGCATTTAAATAATCCTGTGCATGCACTTAAAGAATGCAGAATCAAATCATTAATCAAATCGAATTTAATTGTGAATCAAATCGAATTGAATCGTTCTGAATTTGCAAAAATCGTTCTTGAATCGAATCGAAAACCTATGAATCATGAATCGAATCGATTCGCTGTTTACCCAAAGATTCACAGCCCTAGTAGGCTAGCAATATATAACTGAAACACTAACATGGATGCAAAATAACTTTAAAACAAATAACACCAAAGCCAAATTTTATCATGAAAGACAGACCATTTTGATCGTTGAGTTTCTTTTTCAAGATCCTGATGCTCTTTCAGTTCTTGATGAAATCCTGCTTGACTGATTGATTGCTGCGTCTGATTGGACAGGAAGTGCGTGCACTGCGCGGGTCTAGATTACCCGCGAAATTTAAGTACACTACCGATACATACTACAGATATTGTGTCAAACTGTTTTCCCGTCTGAAATAGTTGCACAGTGAAGCGTCATGGCTTCAAATTATGATTTTCTGCAGAGAATATTTTTCAGACCATCAGCAATACCAACAAAAAATGTGTTGTACATTGGTTGATGCAAAAAGGGTTATTGTGGAAATTCATGCACGGCCCATCATGCCACCACATCATGACATTCAGGGACTTCTAGGCCTACAACAAAAAGGAAGCTGTATGGTAAGAAAAGCTATATTATTCCATGCTCATTATTATTCAACTGTGTTTCTCATCTTATTCATTGGGCCTCTGCTCTGTCTCAATTTATTATGTTAACCAGTGGTGCCTGCAGGTGTACGGCTTGTACGCACTGTGAGTACCATGAACGCTCAGACTGACCTGAGATTTGCCCCGCAAACATTTCAGCAGTTATTATAGGCCCTTGTGTCCCGTATTTCTGTCGACTGAACCAGCCATGCCATTAATTATGAATTTATCAGTCTTTTGCATGCCAAAGTCAATTTCTGCATATAAATATTACGCCAAATAGAAGCAGAAAATCGTGCTATAGGCCTACACACTTTCATGAGATCGGGTTAGCCTACAACAATTAATTTGTTGGCTATTTTACAAATGGGAATACAACAAATTCATGACAATGTTCTAACCATAAAGGCTGCTGTGTAATTTGCCCCCTGACTAAGCATTTAAAGAATTTAGGGGAAGCATTTAAATAATCCTGTGCATGCACTTAAAGAATGCAGAATCAAATCATTAATCAAATCGAATTTAATTGTGAATCAAATCGAATTGAATCGTTCTGAATTTGCAAAAATCGTTCTTGAATCGAATCGAAAACCTATGAATCATGAATCGAATCGATTCGCTGTTTACCCAAAGATTCACAGCCCTAATAATTAGTCACTACATTACACTACATCACACTGTAATTCAGATCTCATTCAGCAGCAGTGTAAGCATCTGACTGCAGTGTGCTGTGAGTGTGATGCAGTGAGGGCTGTGAGCGAGTTGTTTTGTGAGTGTATGGCAGCTCTTGCGTTTGCCGCGAGGTAATGAACTGGCCAGCATTGTGCTTGTGTGTGATAATAATCCACTTGTTAAGTGGTGACATAAGACGCACTGTTTCCGGGTCCAAGCCTCAACTCGCTTCACTTGAGAATACTACCTCAGCAGCCGTTTATGAGCACTGTTTATTCATATTAAACA